CCCCCGGCGAGGACTCGGACGCGGAGGGCGAGGAGGAAGGCCGCGGCAGCTCGGGCTGCTCCGAGGCCGGGGGCACCGGCCACGAGGAGGGCCGAGCCAGCCCACTGCGCCGCGGCTACGTGCGTGTCCAGTGGTACCCGGAGGGCGTCAAGCAGCACGTGAAGGAGACCAAGGTACGGCGGGCAGGAGCGAGGGGGCCGGCGGCCCGAGCCCGGGGCCGGGGAGGGGCGGCGTGCAGGTGCTGCCCCGAGTGGTGCCACTGCAGTGGCCGAGGTGGGAGGACCGCTCAGCACAGGGGACGCTCGGTGCAAAGTCATTGCACCAGCCCGGGCGCACACGCCAGCCGGGCACTGCTGGCCTGGGACCCGGCGCTGGGCGTCCCGAGTTAAGGGGACTTGCAAGCCATGCGATGCTGCGGTGTCGGCCTGAGGATTGCAGACGCGGACCGACTCCCGCGGGGACCTCCTTGGGCTCCGAGGCGCCCTCGGCATTACACCAGCGAGGCGTTTTGCTGACCCCAAGGAGGGCCTTGCGGCATTGTGCATCAGACAGCAGAAAGAAGGCCGTGCCCGGTCGGTGCGGGGAGGGGTTGCGTGCATTCCAAAACAAAGATACGGGTGAAAATCCTGGCCACACACAAAACCCCAAGAAGTTCACTGGGTTCCAGAATGCCTGGGGGCGAAGCAGCCCAGCCTCTTTTTGTTAGACCTTACTGCCTTATCCCGATTGCTGGGGGCAACTTTGTGAGTAAAATCATTAACAATCGTGTGATATTAATAGAACTGGGAGAGGTTCTGACAGCTGCCACTAGGATTGAGGACGCTAAGTTCATTTGGACTTCTTGGGGAAAAAAAAAAAGATTGTAGAACCATGGGTAGGGGGCACTGATTGGGACCCTGGAAGGGGCTTTTCCTGCCCCAAGTGTGTTAAGCAAACATCAGACTCCCATGTGGTATTGGGGTGAGGCTGGTGTATATGATAGTTTTACAAAACAAAGGGCTTTATCATCATAAACCTGGAACCTTGAACCAAGGTTGGTCTGGCGGCTTGTTTTCCTGAGTGTGAATTCCTATCAGTGATTGACACACACACCCCTGTATCTCACACCCCTTCCTCCTCTCCTCCTTCCCCTCCCCTTCAAGAACAGCATTTCTGAGCAGGACTCAGCCAGCACTGTTTTAGGTCCCCGAAGGTGAGAGGACTGATTTCACCTTAGAAGTGAATCTGGGTTTCTCACCCGCCAGGAGACAAAGGCGACAGAGCTGGGGCTTCACGCTGTTACAAAGGGGGTTGTGATGGAGGCTGGGGCAGGGAGAAAGCCCCACTCCTGAGACGAGCCTGTGATCCATTTCCTAGTGGCAGAAGCGAGTGCTGATACCAGCAGGCTCTTTTTCTCGCTCATGCGCATGCATCCACAGACACAGAGACACACACAGGGCCCAGTGTCCCCGTCCCCTCGGAGTAATGGAAATCAGGCAGCAGCTTCTCCAGGTCAGGAAGAAAACGATACGTCCATTTACAGAAGTTTTTGGAAAATACTAATTTTTGCAGGGGAATGCCATTTAAAATGCTCACCTCACTAGTATTGCCCTCTCGGGAGTAGAGGGTTATTGCTGGGTATCTGGTCTTACCAGCAGAGGGTTACTGGTATCTTTCTGGGAGTTTTCAGAAGTGCTCTTCACCTCCCATCATTTTTGGAAGTTTGTGACTTTCAGAATGCTCCTCATTTGATGCCAGTGTCCTATGTGTCATGGCCTCTTGCCCTGGGACTCAGGCAGGCGGCCCGGCTGGCCACTGGGAGCCGCTGTGTTTATCAGTTGTTGTCCCTGTCCATCTTGACTTCGGTGGTTAACTTTGTTTACCGTCTGTTCGTCCCGCTCCCTACCGGGCATAATTACAGGAGTTTGACTTAAAATATCTATTTTGGGGTCAACTAGAAAACAGCCTTAAAGCACTTGCTTGGATAGATTTCGAAGCTGCGGCTTATGACTTGTGTGAATATGTTGAAATCCGCAGGGAGGTTTTCTTTGCCTTTGTAGTTTCCTGGGGCTTCTGGGTTTAGCAAAAACCATGGGATTCCAGGGCAGCATAAGAATTCCAGGGAAGTGGTGGAATGCAGTGTCCATTTACAGGGGCCCTGTTCTTTCAGCACCCAGAACAGGTTTGTGTGGGAGTGGCGGGGTTATGCCTGACAGGTTACCATGCACCATGCCTTGGGCTCTGTTATCATGAGCTGTAGGCACAGATGACCCTGGTCGCCAAATGTCCCCTGCTTTGCTCCTTGGCCACCAACTGGGGTAGTAGGGTGGGACCTGGGACTTGGAGCACTGTGGCTTAGGGTCCTAATAAATCCCATCAAGGTCACCGTGTGCTACAAAAGAAAGCCCTTTAGACCAAGGCTGAGCATTTAGGTTGCGATTTCTGCCCTAGCACTAGCCTGGCTGTAAGACTCGAGAATCCTGTTATGGGTAGAATGATGTAGTGACCATTTTGAGGGTGTGCGTGCTCGCTGAAGAGAGACAGAGAGAGGGAAAGTGAGAAATCACCCCCCCAGGGGGATGGCCACGCAGCAGTCTTGCCTCTGTTTCCCTCTCTGGGTTTTGGACATGCACGCACACGTGCAGCATGATTTTCAAGTCACCAGGTCTGAGACTTGAACCGTGATTAGCCATGTCTGAGTTTAGTGCCTTAACCACCATACCACCTGCTGCCCCAAGAGAAACATATTCCTTTCTTAACGCTGCTACCTATTGGATTGGGTTAATTCGTTGGGATAGCGTGCACTTGGAGTGTTTACTAGACCGTGGAGAGTTTTTGTAGCCAGTTTACTGTCAGAGGGCAGTAATGACTTAATATCAGTCTCTTGGTTTAAGTTGGTAGCAGATACATTTGGAAGCGATGAAGGGCCTGGGCAGCAAGTCCTACCCTTCCCTTGCCTCTTCCTTGAAAATTGACAATAGAAATAAAGTCAGTTCTTCTATAATGTGAAATTTGTGGTTGGGTTCCTGAGGCTCCCAGCAGCCAAAATTAAGCTTCTTTCAAGGGACTAGAAAGGAGCAGCAGCCAGTGTCTCTGCTAAGCTCCTGCCTCCCCGGCTCTGGCTCTGACCACTGCAGCCTGGCAGCCCATTTACCCACTAGGAACACCCCGCCTGTCCCTCCTTTCCAAGGGCGCTTGCCCCTTCCCCATCACTGTCGCCCTGTGAGTACAGCTTTGGAATGAAGCCAGGTGCTGACAGCTCTTCAGCCTGACCGAGCATCGCCTGGACATGGTGGGTCTTTCTGGCCTTCACCTGTCATGGTTGGACAGGATGCCCCTGTGGAGAAGAGAGCCGGGCTGCCGGCTGCCGGTTCAAGTTGAGCTTTCTCGGGGCCGTCCCATGTGAGCTGTAGCTTTTGCTTTCCCACCTTACGTGGCCACAGCATCCAGTCTTCCCTGAGTCTAGTGTCTTAATGCCTCTATGAATTTAACTGTGATCACCCTGGTTTTGTGAGTGTCTGTGTGTGTCTGTGTGTGTGTGTGTGTATGTGTGTGTGTGTGTGTGTAGCATCCCTGATGACAGGTCCCTCAGGAATTGGCTTTTCAGTTTATTTTTGGCTTCTACTCAGGCCAGCACTGCCCTGGGGAAAGCTATTTAGGTATGGCATCACAGCACGTGAAGTTCGTCTCACTTGTCCAGGGGCTGGACCCATTAACAGCAATGGTTATTTGTGATATAATAGGAACAAGTTATGTAAGGTTAACCAAGATGCAGGTCTAAGTGCATCTAAATTGCATTTTATTCAGATAGGATCATAGTGCTTGTAGACTCTAACCGCTGTAAGGTGATTTTCTTCTTCGTCTCTTGGTTTTTCCCTTCTAACTCCAAGGCGTCTGGTTGCCACTTGATTCAAGGGCACTTTGAACACACGAGGCGCGTGTGTTTGATACCGTGATGGGAAGTCAAAGCCCTTGGGTGCTCTTCCTGGCTGGCACCTGCTCAGGATGACCTTGGCTGAGTCACTGCCTCATTGTCTCTTTTCCAGTGGACTGTGAGGTCTGTCACCCTTGCCCCTGAAGCGAGCCCGCACATGGGGGTAGCCAGAAGCGTCGCTGGGTCGAGCCTGGGCAGGCTGCTTGGTTATTTGCAGACACCATTGTGTTCTGCCAGTCAGCCCGCCCTGTGCCTTCGGTCACTGGTGTGTGTCACAGGGAGGTGCTGCACCAGACTGAGGCACCTTGGGAAGCAGAGGGGCACTGAGGGGTTCGTTCGGTGGCACAGGATGTCCCAGGTGGTCACCTTGCTGCTGGTGTCCAGGCAGACTATAGGTTTGACTCCATTCTTTTAATTGCCAGAGAATGTGCATGCTTGCCAGAGAGGGGGAGAGAGCACCCCCACCCCCGGTGCGCTTGGGCACCCCACAGTCCCTTCTCCATCTCTCCGTCCTCACCTGCCAGCTCCTGGCCTGTTTGTTTCTCAGGCCACAGGAACTGGGATTGGAACTGTGGGACCTGACTTTTGATGCCTAGTGCTTACCCCGCCCCTAGATTTCACTTTATTAAGGCTTTTCCAGAAAGAAGTTCACATGGAGTCATGAGCCTCACACCTTAGTGCTGCACATTTAAGTAACACCTGCCGGCCTCCAGGGGCGGGGTAGACTCA